ATAACAGACTGATGATCCTGACTGAACCGTAAGCCGGCCCCATTTAAATAGTTTCCTTTGTAAGAATGTCTCGTCACAGCAGTGGAGTAGTGTTCAAACACAGCCTGTAGCATGTGTGCAGGAAACAGGAAAAGAGACTATGCAAACATTCATCCACTCGCTCTTAGTGGTGTGCACAGCTATGCCAGCACTGTTCTAGACACTGGAGCTGCAGTCGGGAACACAGCAGAGGAGTGTGTGTCTTCACTGTGTGCACATCTCCCCGTGAAAGGAACAAAGAAGCCCTCGTCTCCTATCCTGAGTTCCAAAGGCAAACTGCAGAGTCCCACTAAGGTCCTACTCTCCGGAAAATCCGTATCTCCTAAGATAACAGCCAAGACGGGCTACAGAAGAAGGCTGCGTGGGTGAAGAACAAGCATGCACACACTATCTTAACAGCATTGTGACATTTAAGAAAGGAAGTACTCCATTTTAACCCGGATACTTCACAATGAAGGTTCTCTAAGGGAAGCTGACATTCAGGCCGAGGAGCTGATTTACAGTATGCTTTGGAGGTCAGGACTGATTCCCTAAGGTTTCAGAAGACAGGCTACAAGCTTAGAAAGGAGCTGGAGAGGGGCCCCAGTACTTACAAACACTGGCTGCTCTTGCAGAGGATCGATTTGGTCCCAGCACCCACACGATGCCTCACAAGCACACAACCGTCTGCAACTCCAGTTCCAGGGCATCCGACCCCTTTCCTCTGGTCTCTAAGGTTGAATGCACATGATGTGCAGCTACAACGCAGGCGAAATACCCATACGTGATACAATAATACAATCACACATACATACATACACCTCTAGCACAGTGCTGGGCAGGCTTCCCTGCACCTCGCCGCCCACAGAGCTGAGCCTCCACGCTTGACACAGCGTTGGAAGCAGATGGGCAGTAACCTCCAGTCGCTCTACAAAATCTTGATTCCAGCTGGTCACCTTTCATTATTTTCCTTGTAACAGGAGAAAATCATATTTATTTTAGCATTTTAACAGGTTGGGGACTTCAGGTAATTTGACAAGCCTGGATCTCATGTAGAAACACCCACAGAACAGTCCACTTTCTGGAGCCCCCAGGGGGCTGCTTGCCAGGTCTCATTTCACATGTAAAACAATGAGGAAAGCCAACTATAAAACACAAGAAGGCAGCATGTGCCTGCACTGGACTGGTCGACCAGAAAGCTAAGTCCCAAGGGACTGACACATGAATGAGCTCTACATTCTACCAGACAGAGTATTAGGAACCTTTATGCAGTCTTCCTTTATACATTTTTAGTGTAACAATTTACATTAAAGAAAATAAATAAGATAAAAAATGTCCCTCCCAGCATGAGCATTTCCCCAGCTCAATCACACAATCAGATCTGCACAACTGTAAGATTATTTAATTGCAAGCAGCGTGAAAAGTGCAGTCCCAACTAACATCCAAGTTAACTAATGAAATGAGTTCTCAGCACTGGACTCTATACCATTTAAAGGCTGGAGTTGCTGGAGTCTAAAACCTTAGGGCAAACAGAAAGGCGGCAAGCCCTGCTACACACGCTGGAATCTAAATGCTCACAGGCAGGGTGAACTGTGCTCCTTGGAAGTAACACAGTGGGTCACAGGTGGGCACCAAGCACCAGGGTCATGCAGAAGCCTCTTCCCCTCAGACTCTACCTTAGCTGTCCCAACACAACAAGGAACTGCCATCTAGCCATGAAGCTACAGAGCACGCCCAGCCCAGGTTCCAGTCGTAGCTTCACGGATCTCTAATCACCTAAAGCCAATCTGACCACCACACGACTAGTTAACATGAGAGTAAGTGGAAAATGTCTACTTTCTATTAGAGTGTGGTGGCACACACATTCAGTCCCAGCGCAGAAGCAGACCTGAGTTCAAGGAAAGCCTCATTTATATAGTAAGTTCCAGGACAGCCAGGCCTATAGAGACCTCTCTTTCCTTGACCACCCCTACCCAAAACAAACAAATGCAGAAAGAAGGATGGAAGGATCTAAAACACTAAGGTGGAGAAGAAATTGTTCAAGCTAGGCAAGGTCACCTTCCCTTATCCTTGCAGCACAAAGACCCAAAGGGACTGTGCTCTGGGGGCAGGAGCCCTGGCAGCCAGCTCTATGACTATGGCACAGTACTCATACTCACTACACTGCCTAGGTTCCAGCTTTACAGTCAGTCCATTCCTTTGGTGTCACACCATGGCTGGGTTATGGGGGCACATGACAAGTCTCTAAGCCTGTACAAGGGAACACTTATTGTACTGTTCAGTCCTAAATACTTGTCAATATGTCTGAGTGACTCATATATAGATATGTAAGTCCAAGTCAGGCTACAATCGAAACTCAAAAACAGACCTGCCTTTCTCAGACAACCCAACTATAGCAGGTCTGTTACAACAACTTCTTGGGAACTTATACCTTTGGCTGAAAAATAGTAAAGTTGTCAGGAATGCAGTCAGGAACAGAGTCAAGTTACCTAGGTCATATGGGGCTTCTGATACAAAACTTTAACCAAATTAATCAGACAATTCAACTACTTGAAAAGAGGTTGGAGGAACAAGGGGGAGGTAAAATTATATTCAATAAAATACGAGTAAGAACAGAAACACTTAAGAACATGGAAAACTCTAAGTTACCTGAGGTAGTGGGCAGAGGAGGGTCTAACACTAAGGAGGATTGTCTGCTGCTTTTGAAACAAGTATATGCAGGCAGGTGGGATGACTTGGTGGATCTGGGTTCTTGCCACCAGGCCTGAGAACCCACGTTTAACCCCTGGAACCTACACGCAGAAAGACAGAGCCAACTTCTAAATGTTGGCCTCTGACACGCACATTCACTCGCACAGTGTATGTTCACCCTAGACCATATGAAGTATTGAGTATCTGCTAAGTATGTGACCATCCACACACATTCACCTGACACATGACAGTCCAATTCACCCTACTATCTAAACAAAATTCCATGTCTTACACAAGACAGACCAAATTACGGGTGATCAGCTAGCTGGGCATGATGGCACAAGACCAGTCATCAATCCTGTCATTGTGGAGGCTGAGGCAGTTAGATCACCCTGAGTTCAACACCAGCTTAAGCTACATAGTGAGACTCTTGTCTCAAAACCCTTTTAAACCAAGTGTGACGGTGGAGGCCTTCAATGCCAGCACTCCAGAGGCAGAGGAAAGGCAGAGGCAGGCAGATCTCTAGTCCATGGAGAGAGTTCCAAGACATACATGGAGAAAAACCAAAAATAAACTAAGAGGGGAAAAACCTTTATAAGTGATTAATAAGACCATTTCCTCCTTCCATGAAAAACATAAGACACACTCATACGGCTTCCCCAAGAAGTGCTGAAATTTCAGCTGCTGCTAGAAGGCCTTTTTTGTTTTGTTTTGTTTTGTTTTTGGAGACAGGGTTTCTCTGTGTAGCCCTGGCCGTCCTGGAACTCACTCTGTAGACCAGGCTAGCCTCGAACTCAGAAATCCGCCTGCCTCTGCCACCCAAGTGCTGGGATTAAAGGCGTGTGCCACCACCGCCCGGCTTAGAAGGCCTGTCATCACTATTAACCATTCAACATAGGATTAAAAACTAGTTCTGGACAGTCCCTAGATGGATAACCATCCCAAGAACCTGAGAACTCTCACACCTGCCCACACCTCTGTCAAGTGCTTGCTTACAAAATAAAATTTCCTAAGACACACAATAGAAAATGAAGATGAGGGGAGGTGAAGCCACTTATCACTCTGGTCCTACTCAAAGAAGTCATTGCACATCCTCCCCAAACACCAGGGAGCCTCCAAAAACAACACACCCACCCCACCCATATCTGGTACTGTCGTTCAGCAGGGTGACCTAGGAAGACCTCTAACGTGTGCTATATCAGTGCAGACCCAACTTGATGGTACACAACACAAAATATCCAATAAATGGAAACCCACAGAAAATAATTCGTCTGAAATGGAACCCTGGACAGAGAACTTTGTAAGACGACCCAGAGGAACATCTGCCAACCTAAATGTTAGCACAAGACCGTTCTTAAAGCTAACCTCTAAGCTTCACTGGCAGTGAGCCTGCAGAGGTGGAACACAGCCTTAATCCAGGATTCTCAGAGCCAGAGACAGAGGATCTATCTCTGTGAGTTCCGAGGCCAGCCTGGTCTACAAAGGGAGTTCCAGGTCAGCCAAGGCTGTCTCAAAATGCTCACTTGAAGAGGCCCTCCACCCGGCGTGTTTCCCTCAGACTCTTTTGTGCACGCATCAACACCACTAAGCCACTATTACACATCAGATTGGTCAAGTGTAGCACTAGGTCCAAGCCAGAATCACCCAACCGGCACCAGCAATTTGTCTCCTGACATTACTGCTTTCCTTTCCGCTGAGGACCTGGTAACACGCCCCGCCAGTAGTGCCCGCACACCGAGAGAGAGAGGACAGCGACGCACAGCGCCCTTGCAGACTTAGGAAGTAGACTACTCAGGCGCGAGGAAGACTCCCGGGGCGCCCTCCTCTACCCAAGCGAGTGTGTGGTTGGCAGGGTCAAGGGTGAACAGGGAAAAATCCACTCAACAATTTCCTGATGGCGTGGCGTGCAGACAGATTAGGAGGCAAGTTTAAGACGCTGCGGAGCAAGGAAGGCAGAGCAGAGTTCACAGACCGGCAGGTAATCATTACCAGCCACGGCCGCCGGCCCACACTTGGGTCTCCCCGATGGAGTTGGGGAGTGGTGCCAGGCAGGCTCCGGGTCTTTCCAGCAGGCCCGGGGAGCCGCTTAGACCCGAGCCTGGCGACCCAGCTCCCTTCCACATGGTTCCCGCAGGACGAATCACACAGCGGCCCAGAAGCCATGTGGCGGGGTGGGGTTGGAGGGGAGCTGCCCGAACCTCCGTGCGCGTCCGAGGCTCGCAACCCGGTAGGAGGAGGAGGAGGTGCCCGGAGGAGACGCAAAGGGCGGGATGTTGGGGTACGAGACTCACTTCCTTTGGGCTTTGTCCTTCTTGGCCTTGGTCCTTTTCTTTCGGGCCTGGAGCGCGAGCACTGCGGGAGAGAGGGATGGATGAAGGGCCGATGTAAGAGGGAGGCGGGGAGCGGCGCGAGAACGCAGGGCGACCGGGCCTGAGGCTGCGGGCCGAGCGCGGGGCCGGCTGCTCCGGGTGCACGGCGGCTGCCAGGCCCGGCGCGCCCGCGGAGGCTCGGGCCGGCCATGAGGCCTCGCCGCCCGGGCCTGGGGGCTGCGGAGCGAGGGGCGGGGACGGCGGGCGCCCGAGGACGCCGCAGCCGAGGGGCGAGCGGCGAGGGTGACGCCGCTTCAGGGGGCCGCGACAGCAGCCAGAGGGGCGCCCGGCGCCCACTCGGGGACCGCCGTGGTTCCTCGTGGCGGAGGCCGCTCCGCCGCTCACCTTTCCGCTCCATGGCGAGACCGGTAACCGCCAGGCGCCTGCGCACTCGAGTGACGCCGACTCCGGCTCCCGCCGCGGCCCAAATCCCAGCTCTCCCTCCCGGCGCGCGCCGGCCCCGCCTCCGGGCCCGCCCGGCCACGCCCCGCACGGCCTCGCGCGCCTGCGCGGTGGACACGGAGCCTACCACCTGCTCCGGGGAGTGCGGGAGTGGAGCGCAGGGGACCGGGGGATCCTGAAAGGGAAGCGGGTTTTAGGGCCCCCCCCCCCCCCGCCGTAAAGCGCGCGGCATCGAGAAGTTCTTCCCTCCTGAGGAAGGGCAGGGCCACGCAGCCAGTCGGGATTTGCCTCAGTTTCCCCGGCCTGCAAAACGGAATAACCCAAACATTTCCCAGTTCCTTCCTGAGATGTTGGAAGGGCCAGTTAAGACAGTAAAGAAAATGGGAAATTACGGTTGTATGTGGATGCACACAGAACAAAGGCTGGAGGGAGGAAACGTGTGGCCTCTGTCGTCTTTTAAAGATAAAGCCTGGGCCAGCAGCCCATGCTTGTAAACCTAGCAGGTGCGTCTCTATGAGTTCGAGGCCCTGTAGGCCTAGATAGCAAGTTCTAGGCCAGCCAGGGCTATCTAATGAGACCCTGACTCAAAAATAAAATAATTTATAAAAAAATCAATAAGAACTGGACCACAGGACGGCTCAGCAGGTAAAGGTGCCTGCCTCCAAGCTTGAGGAAATCGAGACGACCGATCCCCACAGATTGCCCTCTGACCTGCACACAGGAGCCATGGCACATGCAAAACCCCTCTCCCATAAGTAAATAAAACAATTGTTTTTTAAATAAAAGCAAACACTTCAAAGGGGGATTTTTCCCTACAAACTTTTAAGGCTTTAAATTGAAAGCTTTAAAGGAAGGGGGTGAATGGGAATTCTGTTTTCTCCTTGAACTACTTCCCTCTTCATCGTAGGACTGACAGGGTGTTTCCATACTGTCTAAGGTGAATGATCTTATTAGATGCTGAAGGTAGTTATTATCCCATTACAGAAAGATGAGCACTTGGAAAGGATGTGTGATCAGAATCTTGGTGTCCCAACCCAGTGATTCAGGCATCAAAACCCTCAAAGTAAATACTGTAGAATCAGCAGGTATTTCTGAGATGGATGAGAGAGGAACAGGAGGCTCTCTGGATTCCAATATTTCTTCCAAAACATAGACTGTGGATGCTGCTATGGAGATTTACTAATAGGCACTGAAATTTCAGTTGCCTATACTTGACATGTGTTTCAGAACAGTCTCCTTTTGATTTTTTTTGAGCATGATTTTTTTTTTCATGCTCAGGCCTCAGCTTGCAAACCTCTGTTGTGAAGCTAAGTCATGCATGTTTTAAAGATAGAACTGTACTCTGAGAAACATGGCGCAAGGTGATGTTGTCCTTGTGCAAGCATCAGAGAGGATGCTTGCCCAGTATACAGCTACAAAGACACTGCATGTTAGTGTTGGAACCAGTGATCTGGAAGCTGAGACAAGTCTCAAGCCACACTGAGCTATAGTGAGTTCCAAGCCAATCTGGGCTACAAAGTGAGACTATGTTTCATAGTGGAGGTGCTGGAGGGATGGCTGAGAGGTTAAGAACACAAACTATTCCTGCAGAGGCCTAGAGTTGGGTTCTCAGCACCCACTTCCTGGGGCTCACCCATAACCTGTAACTCCAGCTCCAGGGGATCTGACAGACACCTGGCTTCTGTAGGCAGCTGCACTCACTCCCTTTCACAAACCCACAAACGCATATATGTAAAAATAAGTCTTTAGCAGGCCATGGTGGCAAATGCCTTCAATCCCAACCTTGCAAAGCTGAGGCAGGTGAATCTCTATGAGTTCCAGCCCAGCCTGATCTACATAGTTCAAAGACAGCCAGGACTGTTACACAGAGAAATCCTGCCTTGGAAAACCAAAAAGAAAAAAAAGAAAAGAAAAACAAAAGCTCTTGAAACAAGAAGCCACGGGTAGCATAACCTTTGGAATTACAGCCATCTATGAATTCTGTTGCCCACCGAAGCCTTTTCTTTCTTTCTTTTTTTTTTTTTTTTTGGTTTTTCAAGACAGGGTTTCTCTGTGTAGCCCTGGCTGTCCTGGAGCTCACTCTGTAGACCAGGCTGGCCTCGAACTCAGAAATCTGCCTGCTTCTGCCTCTCAAGTGCTGGGATTAAAGGCATGCACCACCACTGCCCCACGAGTCCCACTTCTTATAGAGCAGGATATTTGAGCCCCTGCCCCAGCCAGCTGGAATACAGACATATGCACGATACTTGAAAAGGCTTTGGCCGGGCAGTGGTGGTGCACGCCTTTAATCCCAGCACTTGGGAGGCAGAGGCAGGTGGATTTCTGAGTTCAAGGCCAGCCTGGTCTACAGAGTTCCAGGACAGCCAGCGCTACACAGAGAAACCCTGAGGAGGGGGGTAGGGGTTGGGGGGAGAAGTGGGGCTCAGGCTAGGGAGTGGGTAAAGTTCCTGCCTGGCATTTGGATCCCCAGAACCCTTACAGCTGCTGGGTGAGTGAGGTGATGTGCTGGAGACAAAGGGTCTTGGAGCAAGCTGGCTATCTAGGTGAACTGGCACACTCCTGGTTCGGTGAGAGACCCTGCCTCAATAATGTAGAGGACAATTAAGGAAAACACCCAGTGTAACAGCTCAGGCCTCCTCCGCATGCACAGGCACAGGGACACATGCAACACACACAACTGTGCTCACACACTCGGAAACACATATCCATGTATATATTCCACACTCAGATTTACATGCAAAAAGGAAGAGGAGGAGGGGCATGGAGGGAAGGAGGGAAGACAGGCGGGGAATCATTTGGTTGGGAAAGGAGGGTGAGCACACCTGAGCACAGACCAAGCCTGGGGGCCCAGGCACAGCCTTCTTAGCAAAGCAGGCTCATCAGTCCAGGCAGGGATGAGGCCACCACGTTTGATGTGGGTGTTGGGAAATGTGTAGGATTTTCATAGGTGGGGAAGGAGATGTCAAGCATTCCTGAAAGAAAAAAAAAATCAATTGAGCAAAAGGGCCCAGGCTGGAAAACTTGTGGGTGGAAACTGGTGCCAAGAGTGACTGCGGGTATAACATAGGCAGGGGCGGAATTGGACATGCAGATCACAGCGTCTGCTGCACGGAACCCGAAGGATGGCATTTCTGGGTTTATTGTGAAAGAGGCCAGCGCTTGTCAGCCGAAGAAAACTGCTTTCTACTTTAAACTTGGGACTCAACGGGAATAGGATCAGAAAACACCTTACATCCTAGAGTCTGGGACTGTGTTAACCCAGGAAACTCCCACCTCTACCCCACTCTACCCCACCTCTGTGGGGAGCTGAGGAAATTCTGAGTGAATGTGTATTGCTGACAGGGGTCCAGCCAAGGGTCCTGATGTCTCAGGCCCATGGAGACAGTAAAGCCTTCCCCAGACGAGGCTCAAAGGGATGGCAAAGGCCTACAAAGTGTGCGCACACACACTCACACACACTCACACACATTCCAAGTGTTGACTACAGCTGCATAGGCAAGGAAGCAGTGCAGCCTGCTGTGACTCAGCTTTCCTCTGGTTGTACAAGTGTTTACTAAGAATTGACCAGTGTCTGTAACAACAGAAAGCCACAAGGTAGGATCACCTTGAACCACAGCTTCCTCATCCTCGATGTTTACTCCCTGAGACTGCTCCCCTACAGAGACCTCCCCTGAGACTAGCTAACTAACCCTGTGCTGTGTGAAATAGATGCTTCTTTGTTTTTAGTTGCACAGTAGATAACCTCCCATTGTAGTGAACACAGCCCACCCGCCACCGCATCCCAGTTTTTCTTTGTGTGGGCGCCTGTCATTTCTTCATTGCTAAGTCACCTGGGTCAGGTTTTCAGGATCAAGCCAACCCCCTAGAGTAGGTGGGTAAAATGACCACCAGGGGGCTGGAGAGATGGCTCAGAGGTTAAGGTCCCTTGGAGACGACCAGGGTTTGGTTCCCAGCATCCTGTAGGGCAGTTCACACCATCAGTTCCAGGAGCTGATCCCTGGCCTCCTCACGAACATGCACACTCCAGGTGTTTGCTGCAGATGGCATCAGCAAGCGTGTGGTGACTCGGTCACCTCTAGTTGCCCATCGACTCTTGCTGACCACCTGTTCGGCAGGAACAAGCTCAGTTCAGAATCTCTGACTCTCTTCCTGTGCCCATGTAAAAGTCACTGGTCTGATTTCTCAAAATTGGTCATCTGTGCGTGCACACACACTCACACACACACACACACACACCCCGCTGTGTGTTTTCCCCTACACCCTTAGCATAACTGGGGTCTCATGCCTGTGTCTCCAAACTTTTGCTGAGATATTTATGAATGTCCACCTAAGTTTCTACCTTCACGTTTCTATCCTAAATAAAGCTGGTTCCATTTTTGCTTTTTTTTTTTTTTTCCGAGACAGAGTTTCTCTCTGTAGTCCTAGATGTCCTTGAATTCACTCTGTAGACCAGGCTGGCCCTTGAACTCAGAGATCCACCAGCTTCTGCCTCTCCCGTGTACTGGGATCAAAGGCATGTGCTACCCACCCACCTGGCTCCTGCTTCTTAATTTATATTTGTAAACCATCTTACCTTCCTGTGCTCTTCACCACCAGTTCAGAAAGGTTGCCTTTTCTGGACTTGACCTTTCTGGAAAGTATTCAATAGTAGTAGCTATTGGGGCTATTGTGGATGAAGTGCCTAGCAAACAGGATGACCTGAGGTATGTAGAACTGAGGTGGTATATGTCTGTAAGCCCAGCCCTGGGGAGATAGGGGGAAGAAGACCAGAAGTTCAAGGTTATCCTCGGCCACATAGACTTTCAAGGCTAGCCTGTGCTACTTGAAACCCTGTCTCAAAGAGTGGTGGCTGTTTCTTTTTTTGGTATCCATTGCCTCTTGGGTACATATGCTTCCTCCTCCTTTTCCTGCAAGTCTTTTTAAAAGTGGAATTATTCAGACAGCAAAAGCCATCATATATTTTTGGCTGCTCATGGGCGGTGTCAGGATTTAATTTCTGAAAAACATCCCATTCCTCTTGAAGTAACATACTTGCAAAGACTGTTCTTGTAATCTCCCC